CTGGAGGCTAGCCTGCTTGACGCCAGCGTGGCTCAAATAACACATGATGCCACAAACTTTACCCCAACCCATTGATTGCGCAACCTGTGTGAAACCTGTGCATCAAACTCTGACCCAACACCAAGAGTAGTAGATCGATACACGCACCGCGAGTCCAAAACTGCCACGCCCAAGCCCCACACCCCCACGAACACACAAAGGGTGAGGGGGGGAAAAGAAGACGATAATGATGATAGGAGGAGGGGAGAAAACCTTGAGGATGAAAATGACCAGAACAAAGAAAATGATTATATAATAGAAGGCCGCCGGATGTTGGCAAAAATTAAAAACATGACAGCGCAACAAGATTTCGGAAATAATCAGGAAAAAAGGGTTCGGCACTGTCGCTGGCAATGGAACTTACTCGGCGTGAAGATCCCCATTTGTGCAGATCATAGTGACGGCACGCTTCGGCACAAGGCATTGTTTTCTCAATATATGAGTGTCAGCGAATCCATGTGGAAGACGAAGCCGAGAGAGACGCCAACGACTACGACGAGTTGAACTAAGCGTTTCCTCCTTTTCTCCTCCTCCTCCTCCTCCTCCTCCTCTTTGTCCTCCTCCTTGTCCTCCTCCCATTTGTCTTTTTTCTTATGAACGCCTATCGTGAGAATCCATCCGTGAAAACGAGAATGCCAAGGACACTCGAACAGTGTATTTCACGGAAATTCGAACAATGTATATATATATATATATAACACGGAAAACCTAGAGCAGCGAAGCTCGAGTCAGGAGCCTCGAATCTCGATCCTGTGGCCTCGGCCAACCGAGTTGCCCGTTCGGCGGCGAGAACCCTCTTACTCTTTGGACATCCGTCATCCTCCTCCTGTTTCCTCCACTTTCTCCTCCTAGTCCTGCTCCTTTCTCTTCGCCATCCCCCCCCCCAGTTACCAGGTTGCCTTCACCACCTCCTACTGCAGCTCCACCCCCTCCACCCCTCTCGCAATCTGAGCCTTGTGGGATGCTCGAGCCAGCGCTCCGCCTAAGATCTCATTGCGACTAGCTTTGGGCGCAGACGAGTCTGCCCACCGAAGCAGGCAAATCGGTTCAGACATCCTCGCAGTCTGGGGCCCTTGGGGCGCTGGCACTACCGCCTCGCCTGAGACATGCTCAGCATATGCCCAAAACGCAAACGACGTTGGTTACGAATTTAGCATGCCGCGTGAGATTGCCTGGCAAGGCAAATCGGTTCAGACATCCTCGCAGTCTGGCACCATTGGGGCGCTGGCACTAGCGCCTCGCCTGAGACATCCTCAGCATATGCCCAAAACGCAAACGACGTTGGCTACGAATTTAGCAAGCCGCGTGAGATTGCCTTGCAATCTGGGACGGAAACCAGCGCCTCGCCTGAGACATCCTGTTGCCTGCCCCGTGTTTGTCTCAGCGGTCAAACTCATGGATCTTTCGCCCGTAGATGGACAATATCTGCCGGGGCTAGCCGCCGTTAGGAATTCGTGGACGCGCGTGCCCACCCGGAGCTTCTAATTACCCAAATCTCTAGAAATTCCAAAACCAAACCGAAAAACCATGAAACAACAATTCGTGTTACTGGTCCCTTGCTCACATGGAAAAAAAGCTTGGAAGCGTTACTGAAAAAACTAATAAAAACATAAAAAATCGGCCGAAGATGGGTTACCACTCCCCAGCCCAGACCCCCCCTGCGCCCGATTCGGCCGCCGGGCGGCCCGGAAACAACCGCGTTACCCCTGCCCCCGATTCGGCCCGAGGACGGTTACCACCCCTGGCCCGGACGCAAGGGGCTCCCCCTGCGCCCGATTCGGCCGCCGATGGGTTACCGCCGACGGCCCGGAAACAACGGGGTACCCCTGCCCCCGATTCGGCCCGAGGACGGGTTGCCACCACCCCTGGACCTGGACACAAGAGGTTACCCCTGCGCCCGGCCGCTGTCTCGTCGTCATCGTCGACGGGCCGATGACAGTGACAAATATTCCGGCGACCAGTTCGGACGAGGCGACCCGCAATTTACTCGCAGGAGAGGCCCCCACCTCATACTTCCCCAATAAGCTTCGAAGGAAGCTGTGGCCAAGTCCTACAACCCTAGGCTTCAGATCGGGGGTGACGGAACTGAGAGTTATGAGGACGGTTCAGGCGAGCGTGGGCTGACCATCACGGCTTAGAGCATGTTAGAGCCCCGAGTTCCGACGTGCGCAGCGAGCTCCCCCGACCACCATGGGCAATGCATTTGGGCAGTCAAATATGCAAGGATATTTGATGCGAACACTTCTGGCCACATCAACAGAGGCACTAGTCGATATCAAAATTGCAAGGCTGCCATATTCAAAGAAACGAATAATTGCGAGGATGTCTCGGACGACAGCGGCAATGACGACCCCAAGGAGGCCGCGACGAGTCAGAAACACTCCCGAAGAACACCGACATGCCGGGCAGTGCCAAACGACGCGATGCGAGCACCTTGGCGTGCGCGGAAAACGAGTCCACGGAGCAGGCGAACCCGCCTCGCGTGAAACAGTCCACAGCGCACCGAACACACCAGAATGTTCCACAATGCGTGGGCGACGGGTTCAAGGAGCAGGCGCACCCGCTTCACGTGAAACAGTCGCCCACGCAGGCACGTTCGGATACAACTGCGGACGCCACATCTCCGCGGAGCGTCATCTCGTCGCGCGTAGGCGAAGCGTCCGAATGAAAACGACTTCACACACACACCAGACCAGCGCGAGCGAGGGTTCCACGGAGCAAGCGAACTCGCGTCGCGTGGAGCCGTCGCCCGCACCCACACCTTCACGAAGACAGGGGGAGGCAGCGTCTCCGCGGAGCGAGGAAGTCGCGTCGCGCGAAGGAGTGGCCCCCGCCAAACACCACACGCAAGCCACTGCTCGCGAAACCAAACCATTCCAAGGTGCGCGCCGGATGGACTTCGAAGCGGAGCCAGCTGTTGCGAAGAGGAATCCCGGGGACATCGATCGGGCATCCAAACAGACAAATTGCCTGAGACATCCCCCAATCTGGGCGCGAACGGGCCCGTGAGATACCCCCTGGCGGCCCCCCTTGGGAGTGCTGAAACCAGCGCATCGCCCGAGGCATCCTCGGAAACTGCCCCGAAGGAGAAGGATGTTGAGCACTCAAACTGGCAAAACGCCTGAAACATCCCCCCAATTTGGGCGCGAACGGGCTCGTGAGATACCCCCTGGCGGCCCTCCCTTGGGAATGCTGAAGCCAGCGCCTCGCCTGAGACATCCTCGGAAATTCTGCTCCGAAAAAGAAGGATGTTGAACGCCCTAACAGCCAAACCGCCTGAGACATCCCCCCGATGTGGGCGCGAACGGACCCGTGATATGTCCCCTGGCGCGCCCCCTTTGGAAGTGCTGAAACCAACGCCTCGCCTGAAACATCCTCGGGAACTGCTCCGAAAGAGAAATATGTTGAGCACCCAAACAGGCAAACCGCCTGGTACATCCCCCCGATGTGGGCGCGAACGGGCCCATGAGAGATACCCTTCTGGCGCCCCCCTTCTGGGAGTGCTGGAACCAGCGCCTCGCCTGAGACATCATCGCAAACTGCTCCGAAAGAGAAGGACGCTCATTAACACCGAAACAAACACAATGCCTGAACCATTCCTCCAATTTGGGCGCGAACGGGCCCGTGATATACCAGCGCCGTGCGCGGGGGCAACTTGTGGAGCTGGTTCGGCTGACGAGCGTCGACCACCATGCGGACGACCCCGTTTTTCTTCGCCACGAAGAAGTGCTGACGCAAGCCCTGCGCCGACGGCGACCGCCCACCAACCCGCGAACGGCGAGACGTCGAAGAAAGTCAACGAGGCGCCCGCGGTTCCGAGGGTCTCGAGGATTGAGCAGCGGGTCCCAGTAGGGTTCGACGATGTCTTCCTCCTCAGGCATGGTGGCGACAGGCCGCGCCACGTCCGAGTGGCAGTTGTCGAGCACCTCAGAGACGTGCCGAGGAGCGATGCGTCGAAGCTGCTGGGGCCGATCCTCAGGACTTCGTCTGGGCAGATCGAGCTTGTCAGTGTCATAGTCACGACGACGAGAAGAACATTCGCCCATGTTCGAATGCAGATCCTTGCGGTCGAGGGGCTCCTGCAGGGCTTGAGGAGCTCCTGCAGGGCTCCAGCTGAATCCATGTCCTTCGGGCGCTCCCCGAAGCCGCGGACGACGTCGGACTCGCTTGGCGACCGACTCCTGAGCGGTAGTCGGCCTCTGCTTGCAGGGCGTTCGAGGTTCGAGGCGCCCACCGGCCCGCGCGGCCGCCAAAGCGTTGAGCGCTCCCGAGGCCACAAGAGACCGACGGTCACGATCATCACCACGGGCAGCACGCTGGGCCAGATACCGAGGCAAAGCGGCACGTTCTCCCCGAGGAAGCCGACGAAAGAATCCATCGCCTTGAGGAAGAGGAAGCAGAACAGCGGACAGCGTCCGACCCTCGGAGGAGACCCCCTCGGAGGGCTGCCCATCTCGATGCACGTCCGCGGCTGTGCTGGTCGAACAGGGCAAGGGGAGGCCGGGCGGAGCGCCTGGCCACATCGGCGCCACCATGGCGCCGTCAACTCTGATCCTTTCCCGACCCCTGGCCCTCGGCGTTCGCCTCGGTCGTCGGGTCTGGCTTCAGGGGCCTCCGATCGTCGTTCAACCTCTCGTACTTCTGCGCCTCCGACTTCTGTTCCTCGCGGCCCAAGCGCTCCTCCGTGAGAATGACCCCCCTGGGCGCGCTGCCCCTCGGCCACGAAGGCATCGAACTTCGAGATCCACGCCCCGCCGCCCCCGTCCCGGGAGCTGCTCGACATCGAGCCCAGGCCCTCGAAACTCTGGCGACAAGGGCGCCGTTTCAACGCGCGCTGAACCCGAAGCCCACTGCGCCCCACCCACCCGAACGAACCCAAGTTCGATGCGCCCAGGAGGTCGTGAGTCATGGCATGGCGCAGAACGGCCCGGAGCCGGGAGGCCCCGCATCTCCTGCGAGACGCCCGCGTTCCGCGAGACACCCAACTCCGAGACGGAGGACACCCAATGCGACGCGAGCGCGAGCCCGGCCGCGTCGCGATACACCAGGCGCTCCAGGTCGCTTGACACCTGCAGGTCGAGCTCCTTGCCGACGTTAGTCGAGCGCCCCCGGGCCCGAGTCGATCCACCGCGGCGCGGCGGCCCCGGGCGGGGCCGCGGGGGCGGTCGCGCGTATCGCAGTGGCGAGCCCGCGCACATCCACCGCCTCGATATCCTCGTTCCTGTGGCCCTCGAAAGCACACGCCTGGCCGCGAAGCCCGACCGGGAAAGCCGCCGCGCGGCCGAGCGCCGCGACCAGGCGCCCGCTGTGGTCGCGCAAGAGCAGCTCCCCATCCGGGCTCGCCACCGCCCAGACGCCGGGGCTCATCTGCACCAGCGAGAGCCGGTGGTGCCACCTGAAGATGTCGTCGTAATCGAAATTCACACATGCCTGAGACTCCGCCCCGTCGAGCGCGCGCTGGGCCATCTGGCCCCCGAGCTAGGTGGACCGCGAACTGCTCGATATCGGGGGCGCGCGCGCGCCGCCCTCAGTCGCCTCCGAGCCCTCGACCCCCGGCGCGACGGTCGCGACGCCCTCGGCGCGGGGCGCGACGAGCCCCGCCGCTCGAGCGGCCCAGCCAGCAGCCCGCAGCAGCCCAGCGCCTCCGAAGCCGAGCGGCAAGCCAACGGCCAGCGCGGCGCCCACCGCCCACCAGGCCGGGCCCGCGCGGCAGGGCAAGCTGCAGGTCGGGGAAAATGGGCAGCCAGGGCATGTCCCGCACGTGACCGCCGGCGCCGGCGGGCACGAGGGGCAACTCCCGCGCGAGGGGCCCCCAGGACAGAGGTTGAAGCCGAGATGTCACCGCAAGAATGAAATCGTGGCAGGACGACGCGACGATCGGAAACATTCGAGGCCACTTGGTTGCAGGAGCACGAGTCAGAGACAATTCATGGTGGGAATGTTTTGGGTGGCCTGCTTGGGGCGCCCCGTCGTCGTTGTCGCCCATGTTGGGGCGTTCCGTCGCCCTCGTCGGCCACCAATTATCGCGCGCCTTCGCAAGAGACGCTGCCCTAGACAGCTTTGCGGTGGCATGGGGGGGGGGGGGGGGGCGCGGGGGGCGCTGCTCATTGGGCAGGCCCGCGCCCGCGGGGCGGGCGCGCGACGCCTCGCTCGCGTCGCCGCGCCCCGCGGGAACGCGCGGGCGCGGCGACGCCCCGCAGCCCGCACCAACCACAGGAGCGGCGAAGGGCGAGGGGAAAGTAGAACGCCGCTACCGCGGCAAGCCGACGCGCGCGGAGCGCGCAGGCCTCGCGATTGGCCGTTGCGCGCCCCTGCGCCGCGCGCCGTGCGCGGGGGCATGTTTACCCCCCCACCGCCGCGGGGGGCAAGTCGCGAAGGGGGACCATGACCCAGAACGCGAAGTGCACGAGCACCTGAGCGCGCCCCCCTCTTCCAACCTCTTACCCAACCGCCCCGCCCGCCCCCCCGCGCGCGGGCCGCGCGGCGATTCGCGGCGCCCGCGGCGGGGGGGGGGGGAGAGAAAAGCGGCTAGGTTCGCGCTTCTGTGACAACGAACAAAACCGCGCAATGTTCTGCCACAGCAAATGGGCGGAGGCCCTCTGAAAGACCGAAGAGGGCGA